GAGAATATCATTTTTTCGGTGTAAGAAAAAGAGTATATTCTTAATTTATTCTTTATTTAAGAATATATTCTTAAATAAAGAATATATTCTCAATTTCAGAAGAATATCATCTAAAATCTTGAAGAAGATTTTTTAAGTATAAAATCTTCTACTTACGAGAATATCATTTTTTCGGTGTAAGAAAAAGAGTTAGACGGAGACGTATGCTATCTCTCATCGCTCGTTGTTTCTCGTGTCTTTGATGAAACGCTTTTTTTCGCCCGACGCAAACATTTTTCACGCGCATATATTTGCACACATACTATACATCACACCGATTATTCAGACGACAGCAATCTTTGTGCCATTTCGCTTATCTGTATATAAAGCGCGCTTGTTCACGCGTCGGTTGTTTCACATATCCCCCTTTGTAAAGTCCGCTCAGTTCTTTCTCTCTCTCTCTCTCTCTCTTTTTCTCTATTTCTGTTTCTCTATTGTCTTTTGTCGTTGTCCGTGTCGTGTTCTTTCGTCGTGATTTTTATCTGTCAATCGTGTATCGCAAAATGGAAAACGCTATGCAATTCCGATCGCTTCGTCAAGTTGATTGGAAATTCTCAACGGAGCCTAAACAAATTCATCGTGTCACCGTCGTGAATTGTGAACGTTCCATTTTGCGCGACTCGATCGCTATACATACATACTTGTAAATAATACATATATGTGAACATTCTCTTGTGTGTGTTGATACGAATAGGTCCGAACACGGAGCAGTGTGCGGGCGCCGGTTCTAGTAAGTACATTAATTTATAAGAGATCAATGTTCTCTCTATCTGTGGCACAGCATCTATATCCTATATGCTTATTGGACATACAAACCATACAAACCACACACACACACACACACACACACACACACACACACACACACACACACGTACACGTATCATACATTTATACGCATCGGCTGACGCACTAATGAAAGATCACTTCGTTTTTTTTCTTTTTTTCATACAGTTTTTTTGTTACCAGTGCAATTACGCTTTTCACATTTTCTTCTTTTTTTCTTTTTATTAAAGCGCCTGATCCTTCATCGCAGCCGTATGTGGCGTGAAGTGGAAGAAATAATAATTCTCTCTTTTTTTTTTTGCGCTTTTCGCGCGTAAAGTTTGTTTTTTTTCTCTCTCTCTCTCTTTTTGTTTCGCGAGAAAGTGATTTTTCGCGAGTGCATCATCCGGAAGTGGCGACGAGTTGATACGCGTTTACATTTCAATAATAATTTCTGGCGAAGAATGTTGTGTAAATTTGGTTTTTTTGTCGACACATATTTCCCTAAAAAAAAAAATCATCGATCTGTGCGCGTTTCGTTTTCGTTTCGGTTATCACAGAGATTGTGTCGCATCCAATTTCCCGTTCAGCATCTTCGCTCCAATGTGTGTGCGCACGACGACAAAGGGACGCGGTATGAAAAAAAAAAA